CAACTCCCAGAATTCCCCAGCCAGCATTCGCTGGCTGGGGAATTCTGGGAGTTGAAGTCCAGACATCTTCAAGTAGCCAAGGTTGAGAAACACTGCAATAGGATATTGGCTATGTAATAGTATACATGTGATTATATGTTATGAAAATGGAAAATAAAAAAAGTATATTTCAAAATAAAACATGCACCCTAGAGGCCACGATATCTTTCAGATAGCCTTGTGGATACTAAAACTATAGGGCAGGAAGCAGATGAGTGGGTTGAAGAAAACTACAGAATGAACTACTTAGAGCCATGATGGTGAACCTCTGACATGTGCCAGAAGTGGCACGCAAAGCCCTCTCTGTGGGCACGTGCATTGTTGAGTTGTCCTTCTGGTTTCCGGCGTGCACAGGCACGCCAGCCAGCTGGTCTTCACAGAGGCTGGAAAACATCCTGAAAAGCAGACAAAAAACAGCCATTTTTTGGGCCGCTTTCAGGCTGTTTGGGGGGGGCTTTTTTGACCCCAAAAACCCAATCTGAAAACAGCCAAAAAACAGGCATGCGTGTGCCGGTCAGCTGGTCTTCAGGTTTCCGGCGCTCCAGCACACGCACATGCATGCAGGTTCCATTTTTGGCACTTGGTGCCGAAAAGGTTTGCCATCACTGTTCTGGAGGCTGTAAAAATGTAAATGTAATTGGGATAGAGATCCAGAATTTCCAAGAATGAATGTCAAGGCGTGAGAACTCTCTGTTTCTGTACTAAGTTATCCAAATGCTTATTTCTCTTGCTATTTAACATGTGTTTATAAACAATTCTGGACTTGGAAGGCTACAGCTACCTCAACATGTTTGCATAATCTGAGTTGCACCATCTGAGAACTTGAGAATACCTTCTTGTTTATAATTGTAATGGATAACTCCGTATTGAAGTCAGTTTACCTCTAGGATAGGATGTATCTGATGTGCCACGAGAGGTGGGCAGAAATATCAGAAGAAATCAACTCTTTATTTGTATGTATGTTTGATGTTGCATTTAGGCCACTATTCCGAGACTAAAATACTTTCCTAAGCCTCTGTATTTATCTACATATTTTTAAAATCTTGCTATATATTTGTTGTCCATGGAAAGAGGTAGGGTTTTGTACAAGGCATGGAAGTCCATCTGATTCAGGAAGTCCTATTAAGGCATCCCTCGAGTTCTGAGAGTTTATTGCTCATACTTTGTGAAGCATATCTTTATAAGCCTAATCAGAAGTAACCTGTCTTCCTCAAAACATAAATGCAAATATGTAACTGTTTCCTTAAAAATATAATTGCAATATCCATGAGATTGCACCTATTTCTGTGTTCTCTATATATGGGTGTGATGTTGGTCTATTCCAATACAGTGTTGACATATACCATCTGTTCAGGGACAGAGAAACCAGTACAGCCTTTAGAACTAACGGAAATGTCTTTATGGACCTTGAGGGAGGGGAGAGATCTCTTGCATACAGCTGACTTGTTTTATGAAGCAGTCACTTACAGCAAAATAACCAGGCATTCATTTCCAAGTTACTTCATTCTCGCAACACCTATGAGAGGAAGGGAGAGAGACACACAGCTGTTTTGACATCTCTATCTACAGATGACTTCATACGGTGCCTTCCTGCACAAGGGCTCATTCTGCCGGAACTGGTTTAATCTCCTGGATCTGCTTGTTGTCAGTGTCTCACTCATCTCTTTCGGCATCCAGTAAGTTGGAAAGCAGGATATGCAAAGGATAAGTATGCTCCCTGACAAAGAGCCAAACGGATTAAGAAGGAGCAGAATTAAGCTCTGGGCATCCCATCTGAAAAGTGGGTCCAAAATGGTTGGGTATGGGCCTATTGGCTCTTACACCTGCCTCCCTGTTTCTGCTTCAGCTCCAGTGCCATCTCTGTGGTGAAGATCTTGCGGGTATTAAGGGTACTCCGTCCTCTCCGAGCCATCAACCGAGCCAAAGGGCTGAAGGTGAGGACTTCTCTAAAAGAATAGATGCTGGTTCTTGAGCGATGTTCCCAATCTGGTGCTTTCTAGATATGGCCATGCTAACTAGGAATTGCAGCCCAATGCATCTAGGAGGCCCTGGGCTGGAGAAAGCTGTCCTAAAATGCAGAACTGGATAGACCCATCCATTTCTTTCTTCACATATGAGTGCATGTAAGCTGTGAATGGGTGGGCCCTCTCTCTGTCCCACTCCCTCTTGGTTCTTCAGATGACATAAGGGCCGAAAAGTGTTATTTTCAACTATGTCTTCCTCTCTCTGTGTGTCTCCTTTCCCAAACAGCACGTGGTACAATGTGTGTTCGTAGCAATCCGCACCATTGGGAATATCATGATCGTCACCACCTTACTGCAGTTCATGTTTGCTTGCATTGGCGTTCAGCTATTCAAGGTAAGACATACAGTATTTGACATTTCAAGGGGTGACTGAGGTGAAGAGAGCATGGAAGACAAATATGTGTTCTTGGAACGATCAAGAATATACTGAGTGATGACCAAACTCATGGAGCATGTGTGGGTGGGCTTCTTTCGATTTTGCCTAAACACTTTTCCAAACACATCACCTTAGCAACAAATCTTATGCATGCTTCTTGATTTATCTGGAGTTGCAGATGCCACCAAGAAAAAGCTAAGACTCAAGTAAAATTAAAGGAAACACAATAACAAACACTCTAGTTAGTTACACAGGAAACCTAAACATTTTTTTGTAATACATTTCTGAGAACTCTTTAAGGCAGAGACCCATTTAAGAACTTTTAAATGGTCCCCCTGCCTCTGGAGGCTGAACAGCCATGTCAGTGATAATTTAATTTGGATTTCTGCAGTAAACAGGAAGATACATTGAATGACCTCTATGGTCCCTTCCACTCCCACATTCTGTAATCCTATATGAAAGTTTGGGATTTGGCCCGAGCAGAGATTAGCAACATGCTGGGCCCAGTTGAGGTGCAGAGGGCAGAAGAGTAAGAATTGAAAATAAGAAAGGGGAAGGAATCAACTAGATAAACTAAGAAGTATAGATATGAATGAAAAATAAAATGTAGAAAGAGTNTCTATCTATCTATCTATCTATCTATCTATCTATCTATTTATCTATCTATCATTGTCACATAAGGAAAAGAGACACTTGAAATTATATAGACTAGAGTGAAATTAAGAATAAAATGAAATGAAGGATAAAAGAAGAAATGGAAAAACCAGTCCAAGTTGAGGAAAAAAAATATATAAAGTAGCAACTTTTGTTTAAAAAAAAACAAAATTACATGTACAGATAAAGCTAATATAAACCATATTATATAAGCACATCTTTAAAACCTCACTCCCTTCTAGTTAGCAAAAAATCTATTAAGGGTTGCCAGAAATAACAACCGGTCCATTATAAACTTGATCTAATTAATCCAATTGAATTCCTTTCTTTTACATTTATATCTCATTTATATTATTAAACAAATACCGCAAATGTCATCTTTCAAATCTAATCAAGAAAAATCCAATAAAAATTACCAGAGATAGCAACACACTGTGACTATTATAGTTTCTTAAATCAACACCCTCACTCTAATCACCCTTTTGCTGTTAATTCAGAAAAAGAAAAAAGAAAACAATTAAATGTGTACTTAAAACGTCTTTAGTAATGGACTGAAGGAAAGTCCCCCAGTGAAGTCCATAAAAGCTTGCCATTCCAGAGGATCTCAATATTAAAAAAGCAATAAAAAGTGAATTCCAAAGTGATTAAAAATGTGGATCAGCCAAACTTGAGTCCTTAATTACGATTATGAGCTTAGATGTAATCCCTTGACTCCCAGTGGCTCAACTGTAGTTTACTCATAAGGAGCAGCTGTCCAAATTGTGTGCAGACTACCTCACACTCTCTCCTTTCTCCAATTGGTCCGGAATCTGCATCAAACTGCAGATTTCAGCTGTAATGTAATCCCAATTTTTTCAAGCATGTCTTCAGTTCCCAATGACCGGAAGTCCATAAAGAAGCAACTTCCAATCTTTACAGCAGCCACAGAGAAGTTTCTTATCTGTCCTCCAGAGGTGGGTTCCTACCAGTTCACACCTATTCGGTAGAACCGGTTCGTCAAATCTACCGAACCAGTTTCAAAAAATTTTTTGAAAC